GGCTTTTGAAGACAGATGTGTCAGATTACCCTACCCTTGGAGATTTCATCACTTGGAAGTGCTCTGGAAGCAGGGGATATCTCTTAGCACTCCTTGTCTCCAGCAGTGTGGAGGATGGAGGGAGTCCTGGAGCTGCTCAGCAGTGGTACCCATGGCCCTGGCAGGAGCTCAGTGCAGCTGCTGCTCCCAGAGTTTCAGTGGATCCAGCTCAAACCCCAGCCTCTCTTAGAGGGTTTCCAGCTCCAAAACTTCTGCATTTCCAGCACATCTAGGGAGGGGTTTGGTGGGATGAGTTTCCAGCAGTGCCCATAAGCCTGCCCTGCCACCACTCCCATGGGATGTGGAGGGAAGGTGGGAAAATCTTCCCCACATCAGGGGCACTAATTTGGGCTGCTTGCACATCTCCAGAGGAGGCAGCACCAGGAGTTGTGGGTGTTCCTTCCTGCAGAGGGAATCCAGCCAAGGAGCCCAGATCTGACATCATCCCAGGAAAACAGGAGAGCTTCAATATGTTCAGTGGGAATGATGCAAACAAACCCATCTGTAGGAACCTTTCACGAGTTCCCATCCCACTCCCAGCTCCCATCCATCCTCCTGTCCAGGGCTGGGCAGTGCTGGGATGCAGTTCTCATCACTGGGGTGGCACAGTGCAGAGGAGATCAATAGATCCCTTTGCCAACAGGAGACCATGCTGGAGGGGCTCACACAGAGCCTGTTTCCTGGGAATGCTGTCAGCATGGCATGGGATGCTGGAGGCACTGCCAGCCCCAGCCCTGCCAGCTGCCTGCTCCTGGAGGCACTGGGCTAACTGGGAGAGCTCTGCAGCACCCACTGCTCCCAGGGGATGGGATGGGTTTGGGTGCAGGCAGCCTGGCAGGGGGAGCTTGGTGGGGCACAGAGAGGGATGGGAAAGGGGGGGTGAATGGCTCTGCAGAGAAATTCATATCAACAATTTAATAAACCTAGGGAAAAAAAGTCTCCCAGCTGGGATTCATCAGTGAGAGCTTTCCAGGAGTTATAATAAGGAAAGCAGACTGCTGCCAGCACAACAATACCTTCATGCTGGCTGGGTGAGGTGTGGTAATGGGAAGGCAGGTTGGGCAGCTGATCAGTGAGGAGGGACCAGGGGTGCCCCTGCAGTGGGGCAGGAGCTGCCAGGCACAGAAGGGCTGTCTTGGAAAGCCCTTTGCAGGCATTCAGAGCAGGGACTGCTTCCCAAAGCTGGGCTGGGGAGCAGGCTCCTGTTCCTTCCCTGCACTGATGTATTAAGCCTAAAAAGGGAATTGTTGGAATCTTTACCAAAGAAGGAAGGCCAGCTGTGCTGCTGGCAGGCAGAGCTGGGGGGAGGGATGCCACAGCCCAGCCCACAGGTCTGGGGGCTCACTCCCCTGCTTGTCCTGGGCTCTTCTTGACTTCACAGGGGCCAGAGGCAGCCCAGAAATGCTGCAGAAGGGCTGCTGCAGGCAAGGAGCTGCCTGGAGCCCGTGCCTTGGTGCAGCAGGTGTTGGGAGGCACTGGGGGATGAGAGCTGCACTTCCCTGCATGGATTCACCCCATTCCTTCCCTGCCGGCACAAGCTTAAGCAAAGTTCCCACAGGGGGAGAAGGAGTCAAAACCCAGCTTCTTCCCAATCCTCCTCTATGCTCCACCTTCCACCTGTTCTACAGGCTCCAGCCTCAACTTTCCACCCTCTGCCTTCCATCCTGCATCTTCTACCCTCCACATTCCATCCACCATTCTCCACTCTTCATCCTTCACCTTCCATCCTGCATCTTCTACCCTCCACATTCCACCCGCCATTCTCCACTCTCCTTCACCCTCACTGCTCCCTCCCCCAGGCCCCCAGCACCAGGTGGAGCAGCAGAGGAGAGCTCTGCCCTGCATGTGCAGAGATTTTGCACTGCCCTGCACCCCACAGAGGGGTCCTGGCCCTCCTCCCCAAGCTGGCAGATGTATTCCACCTCCTCATCCCTCTGTCCTGCTCCATCAGGGCAAATCTGCCCTGATCAGTGAGTGCTGCTGTGCCCAAAGGTCCCAGCAAGGACCAGCCAGAGGATCTGGGGGTGACGCTCCCAAGCTATTTTACAATGAGGGATTGCAGCTCTTGATGGGCTGCAGGTCAAATTCACAGTTATTAGAACTTGGTAAATGTGGCTTTAACAACCATCTGGCTCTCCTTTTATATGCAATAACCATCCCATTACATCGAAATAAAATCCACATTTAAGGCTCTTAATTGCACAAATGGCCTTTAGCTTTTTTTCCTCTCATCTCAAAAAAAAAAAAAAAAAAAAAGGAAATGTCCCATTTCCATCTGTCATAGCAGAAGAATTTGGCTGAGAGTCTCCAGCCTCCTCCTGAGGCTGAGCTGGTGCATGTGGAGTGTTTCAGCCCTGGGTGAAGGCACTGGGGCCAGCCAGGCTCCCCATGGCCCCTGAGGATCCTTCCCTGGGGCAGGGGTGGGGTCAGGCACCCTGAGGGGTCCCAGCACCCCTGGGGATTGTGTGGCCATTTCCTGATATGGACTGGAATAGGGTGAGGTTAAAGACTCACCTGATAGTTTGAATAGAACAGAAATCCATCTCACAAAGGGGTTTAAGTTCATTTTAGCTTGGCTTTGCTCCAGTTCTGGGCAAATCATCTTCCCCTCAGCATGGTTTGTCATCAGGAAGGGCAATAGAATGGGAAATGCCATATCAGATAGCCAAAATGTGACATTTGGTTACTGCAAAATGTGAGGTGACACAAACCCAACCTGGCAAAGCAAAAGCATTTTCTCAGACAAAACAGTGAAATCAGCCACCCTTATGCAGGACATTTTCCGCCTTCCCCCAGGAATGCTGACAGGATTTTGCACTCCAGAGGAGCTACATCTCGCAGGGGAAACCAGGACAGGAGTGACACAGTGCAAGGCAGCATTCTCTGCATGGCACATGCTCAAAGCTGTGTGTTCCTGTTGTCTCAGACATGTTCAGGCTCAATAATTGGGGGATTTCAGTGAGATTGGTGGGTCAGCACTGTGGAAACCAACCTGTGTGCAGCACACCTTGCCTGGGCTTTAAAAACTACCAGGGAGCCCTTGCAGAGCTGACATCTCTCTGACACAGAGGGAGAAGCAGAGCAAGCTGATTTCTCAGCAGTGGCTGTTCCACACTCAGCAGCTCTTGGTTCCTGGCTTGTCCCCAGGAGCCCTGTCCATGTCACACCAATGTCCCCAGCCCCAGGGGGACAGAGGCAGCAGGGTGGGTGTGCAAGTGGCAGCTGCACCAGCTCCAGGGGATCTTTCCTCGAAAACAGAAAGAACAAGTTCCCAGTGCCCTCTGCAGGAGGAATCACAGCCCTTTTCCCCAAATTTTGGGGCCTTCCAGGAGGACAGTGAGCAGTGGGATGGGTGTCTGTCACCCATGGCTTGCTGTGTCCCCTGTGGGGACAGGGAGGCCCATCTGCCCATCCCCAGGGGCTCACAGGGAAAAATGCCATTTTGCACCTTAACTTGTACATTGCTTTGCTGAAAGAACTCCAGGATCATGGCCATGGCCATTCCCAAGAGCCACCTGAAATAATCACTGCTATTTATTCCCACAGGAAATCCAGCTTGGTTAAATGAGAGGTTTGGGTTGTGCCCAGCAGAGCTGGGGCTTAACATTACACTTGATCTTTTGTCTCTTTTTATTTGATACTTCAGGAAAAACAAGGGGGGAGAAATGAACCGATGGAAAACAAGATTCAGCACTACATGGCCTGTGGCACAGGATTGTTGTTCCATGCATGGGCTGGCGTGCAGCACCAATTCACACACCAAGGGGAGATATTTTGGTTTTTTTTTTAATTTGCACAAAGTGGGGAGCTGGATGATAACCCACAAAAGGCTGGCTCCCTGTTCATCAAGACTTCACATTATTTATACATTTTAACAAAGCTATTAATATTCATTGGTTGCAAATTACAGAGCTTTTTGTTAATTAGCACTCAGTCCCCCGAGTGCTAAATCGTGTCTCATACTAATTAATCCACAGACAGAGTTCTTCGCTCCATTGGAGTCTGGGGTCTGTTTGGAGTAGGTGGTCAATGAGTGTGATCTGCCGCTGTGATCTGCCGCTTCCAAAATTACCTTTTCCCTCAGTTATCGTTCAGTTCCCTGACCTC